ATGCATAATGGGACAGTATGCCATCAGATTAATTATATAAAGAAAATGACTGGCGCATTTGGTAAAGTTCACATGATGATTCAAGTTGCACAGTGAAGCTTTGAGAATCAACGTATTAAGACTGTAAGCTAGATAAGGCTAGATGAGGTACGGTAGATAAAGGTCACTACACTATGCCATGGTTCTGAAATTACACCACTAATCTCTGATACTGTCTTATAGTCAACGCTTATATATATATATATATATATATATATATATATATATATATATATATATATATATATATATATATATATATTTCACAACAGAACATGTATATATGGTGTGTTTATCTGTGTTTACTTATTACTACCATGCTATTGTACTATTCCAGATGATACTGTTACATAATACCTCCTTGAGATAAATGTATAGTATACTGTATATCAGGTGCCTCAAAGAGAGCTCAGGTTCTCAACTGGCTCAGCCATGTTAATATTGTTATTATTATTATTATCCATTCTGCGTCTGTATTTTTTTCTGGCTAAATAAACTGTTGCAAACTGTTACAATAAATGAAAGACTGCAAATGAAGGCGGGCGACTGCGTGAGTACGGATGCAGGCAAGTTGAACGCAAGCGAGTGAAATTATAACACTGAATGTAGGCGAATGATTGGGAACGTAACCATGTGAAAATTTAAATGAGCGAATGTGATCGTATTCGTAAACGAACAAGTGAGAATGTAAGTGAAATCAAACAAGTGTGGGTAAACGGGAACGTGTACATTAGGATGCAGAATGCAGACACAAACTTTAGCGAAGCAAGTGCGTAGTCAAGCGTTGCCCAAGTCGTATAAATATTTACAGTTGTAACAAGTAACGGAGTCTGCTGGGCGAAGAGGGAAGGTGTGTGAGTGTGGGGGCAGGAGTGGAGGCCTTGAGTGAAATACCACGCGTGAAGCTTCTTGGTGTCAGGTAGCAGGAACCCGGGCTACTCACCCTGTCCAAGCCTGACGCACCACCTTTCCCGCCAGTACACAAACACGTACACTGAACTCTAATTTTCTCTATTCACGACTTTGTGTACGTTTATTATGTACCATAAATACACAGTAGGTACATAAACAGACACACAAACTATACCTTCAACCTTTACCGTAATATTTTTTGTACGTACAAAGCCACAGGATAAACACACCCACATAATGAACTTTCAGTGTATGATTGAAAACACGCAGAGGCAAGACGAGGTGAAAAAAATGAATCCATGACAAAACCCCAACGGACAAAACAAAACAGTTTTCTACCGACAGACCGACATATAGAAGCACCTAACCTAACCTACCCTAACATAAAAGTGTTTTATTTTATAATTTATATGAGACTGGGGTTTTGTCCGTACACCGAAAAAACTACAAGTAACACAAGTATTATAATAATAATGTGGTTCCAAACACACAACACTGCTTAACCTGACCCATTCTCTGTTGCGTGTCCATCACTACTCACTAAATTTTACTAAATATAGCATCGTTTATTTAATCAAAATACAGAAAACAGCCAATGGTGGAAGTTACAGTATTTGATACCTTACCCCATTACAGTATACAGCAATTAAAAATAAAATCACAAACATGTTCATTTCGAGAGAAAAAAAAAAAAATATATATATATATATATATATATATATATATATATATATATATATATATATATATATATATATATATATATATATATATATATATATATATATATATAATCAAAACATTATTCAAAACTATTCTCCCTTCCCACAACGTACAATATTTTAATTACAAAAGATCTTCATAAAATAAAACTACATGTTTTTTTCTGGTACAATGTGCATCTTCACTCCCAATAGTGTAAAGTAGTCTATTGTGGTGCTTAAATACCTCCCTCAGTAGTTATTAATGTCCTGTAAATGAGTGGCGACTTCCTTGGCCATTGTCTGATTTCATACAGAGTGAACTCTTTTGTAAAGCCCGTTGTGCTGGCTGAGTCATATGGTTAAGTTACACCCACAAGGTGGCACCAAAAACAGGGTGTTTCATCTTGACTTTTGACTGTCTGCACTTGCACTGATATTGATTAAAATGTAATATCATAATGTAAAATAATCATAATAATTCCAGGAAACAGAGGTAAATTACCCTGTGGCAGCAGTACCTGCAGACTCAACCATTTCAGAGAAATAACTCCTGAGTTACACCACCAAAACCTCCCAAGATAAAGACTTTAAAAACCCTGCAAATATGAACTCTGATTACTATCTTACTGTAAGATTGTCCAACAGATGGGAAATACAATATATTATTAATACTGTAGCTACTTCACTAAGCACATGTTTACTGTGAAGAATTTAAACTTGCCAAACTAAGAGCTTCCAATATATTATATCCTTGGATGTGCATACAGCTTTTTGGATGTTATATTCATAATTGCAAGGGACAGGCATATGACTTCTTTACTGACCTGAACTGTACACTACAACATATAGTACTGTACTGTACACTACAACATATAGTACTGTACTGTACACTACAACATAGAGTACTGTACTGTACACTACAACATATAGTACTGTACTGTACACTACAACATATAGTACTGTACTGTACACTACAACATATAGTACTGTACTGTACACTGCCTCGACTAAGTGTGGATTTCAACTCTGCATTAAAGGACTAACTTAACCTAACTGAAGGTGGTTAAGATTCGGAAAAGGCCAACCACGGAACTTTGTATTTATATAGAGATATAAAACTTTATTCTATTACGTTTCCATCGCATATTTATATTTTTCAAGTACCTGTACTGTATTTTGGACTGATCAATTTCACACAGGAACTTACATTTTGGCAGGACACACGGTTTACATCTGACTCACATGATTATGTTCCACCAGTCACTGCAAGTCTGTCTCGAATTTTTAAATTGTGAACCCAGATCCTTAATCAGCATGTAAAGTAGCACCTTTGTATGAAATTTGAAGAAAATCCATGGTATGACGCCAAATGCCAAAACACAAGGTATTTTAGACGTCAAGCAATAATTTTTGGGAAAACGAAAGATAATGTGTTTATTGTGCAAAGTTAGTCAATTTGGTTTCATAAAATATAAATAAAGATGATTTAAAACATACAGGCACAGCAGGGTTGGTAAAACCATTTTTTTATAAAAACAAAAACCATTGGTTTAAATAAAATGTGTTTTTTAATGCTATACTGTTGGTTTTAATAAGTTTTAAGTATTTTAGCCCCTTTTATAACTTTTTAATGTGCTATTAATCATAAACATTACATTCATGGTGATTTAGCACCCATTTACAGGATCCAGTACTCCTTTCTATTTCAAAAAGTCACTGTGAAAAGGTCAAATTTGAAAACACAAGTACCCCATACAGTACTAGTTTGGTGATACACAAAATCACCCAGCAGCAGCGCTGTCATTCTTTCCACACTCATGAACACTTATAGTGAATATTATTATTACATTATACAGTATTCTGATTTATCATAGAAAAGATGAGCTAACAAAACCTACCTATCCTACGATGAAAGTATTTTATCACCGTATCATTAACTTTGGCTGGGTTAGGTTTCAGAAAGGAAGATGCTGACAAGGAAGAGTCCATCGCTTAGCATTTGGGGTCAGTCAGTCAGTCACTGTGCAACTCTGTCAACAGGTATGTGCAAACATGGCATGTCATGAAGTAGGTGGATGGGGGCTTCTTCATTTACAAGAAACACCAAGGAAAATACATAAATACAAAATGAGCTTTTCCTTCACCTGATTTGTTTCATTCTTGAGGTAAGAAATAAGTTTTCTTCTATAGATATTTTTCATTAGCTGGCTGGACAACCTAGACCAGTGCTACTATAGCATGCGGTCTACAAAGATCTCCTAGTCTAACCTAAACTAACCGAACCTGACCAAACCTAAATATCTGGTACACTACAGTAGCACCGGCAAATCGACCAAGGGTAGTCGACAAAGCTGTTAGATCATTATTTCCAGGAGGGTCCTTTGCTTAGGCTGGCATGTATCTTGAACATGATTCTAAAGAAGTTCACATTAGTTCTTTCTAGTGATCACGACTTGTTTCAGTAATATTCTAAAACTAGCCTTGTTCTTGTTGTACTTATTGACAAAATATCATTCTATACATCCAGTTGTCAGAAAACAACGGCTTATCAACCTTCAATCTTCATGAAAGCTGACAAAATTTGACCACCCATCACTAAGAATGTATCTATCATTTTGCCTGGTAATTGTACAGCAACAAGTACACTATTCCTCCAATGTAATGACACTCATTCAAACTAATTAAACCCCTGAGTATTGTCAAACTTGGCTCATTGCTGCTAAAATCAGCCATGGTTCAGTGATGGAGTGTTTTCATTTGCTGAGGTATTGGGAAGGCTGCACAGTCTCATTGCAGCAGGCTGAAGGCAAGTATTACCCAAGAAATTTCACATTAAGCAGTTTTTTCGGTAAATTTTCCCCATTAATAACATCACAAAAATACAAAGATGTGTAATTTTTGCCATGAAATAAAACCGGAATCTAAGCCTGTCTTAACCTTTATTACTGCAATAAGAAATTATGTTTAATTTAGTAATTCTACAAAAATTAGAAAACAAATATAAATGCAGCACAAGTCAATTTCAATACCACTGTAATACAATGATATTTCCAGATAATCAATACAGCCTCGTGTATTTCATTAGTCATTACGACTATAATGGAAATAAGCTTTTAACATTTCTTACACCACCTTTGGATTTAATCAACTTACAATGCACCACTATTTGAGTATCTGCACTGTATATATGCTGAACCAATGTTGTATAATGAATTAACTGAATAAATAACCATGTGTGGTGTCTAGACAGGTCAGCGTGCACCACACCTCTCTACCCAACTACTACATTAACTACGGACCCACAGCCACCCTCCCGTGTCCCTCAGAACTGATAAGGACACTCACCGAACATCAAGCTTAATCCTCTTTGCACTGTCAGCATTTTCCTTGGTGCTCATTTTGGAATAATATCTGTGGAGTACCCGTAATGATCCACACACGCCTGTTTATGCCGAGCGGTCAGACGAGAGGAGTTCTTGTGCAGCCATAGTTACCGGATTAACAGAGGCGCGACCTGTACCACTCTATTAAGCATGAAATAAAGATAATTTCTTATAAATTCGACTCCAATTTAAAAAATAAGCTTTAAAAAATATTAATTGTTTATAAAAAATTAATCATCGGTTATGATGTGAAAGGGGAAGGTTAATAATCATTTTAAATAACTTATACATGAAGGAATCCCAATCGACAATTTTTACATCCAGAAAATAATTTTTACTCATTGGAGAAATAATCCTTTTCTTTTCCCTTTATCCTCTTCACCACTGATCGGCTTTGGCTATCGGTCACGTCTCTTCATAGATAATATTAAGAGTTTATATCACGAAAGTAATTTGGTCTAGATATGCCACGTTCTAGTACACAAGACGGCCAATGTCGGAAGACTTTTTTTGTTGGAAAACAGACGACACAAACCTAACGTACCAACTAATAAATTTAATTAGATTAGATAGGGCTTAATCGATAGGAGTCATGGAAAATGAATATATGATTGTTGTTTGATAGTTTTTCATTCATTAATGGAGGGAAGGTCTTAGGTAAACAAACACACGTGCTCCTCATCCGCCTCCTGCCTCACCCACCCGCCAAAATTTAAATATGCAGATGATGTTTCTTGTCATCAGTGTTCATAAATGTTCCTTCCAAAACACCGATATAAAGGAGGGAAATGTTGCCAATTTAACGCTACGTGCGCAAAACCCCGAGCTTTGAAAAATTATTTTAAGCATTTTTTGCGGTATTTTCTCGTGTGTTTGATGCTTTAATAAGATTTTTTTGATAATGTAAAAGTATTTATCACTTCTATAGGTTATCATTATCTTTGTATTTTTACACATTGGGGGTTATCGGTAGAGCTGCCCGACGTATAAAACACATTAAGGGGACCTTTTCACGAAAACTGAGAATATATATATATATATATATATCCGAAATTTAACATTTCTAATTTAAATTTCTATGCAAGTTACCTTTCATTTGGCTAAAGCCAGGCGATTTTTTTTCAGCTCAGAAAAATGCAGATGGGTCAGATAAATGGGCAAAATAAAACTGGATTGATTGATGGCAAAATTATCTGTACGATTTTGCTAATGTCTAATTCCTGTGTGGTGAATCCGCACCAGAGCCAGCACCTGTGTTCACCTTAATCACCTACCCTAACTCCCATTGCCCTTCTATAATTAGGCGGTAACCATAGTAATGCGAGTTCATAACTCCTGTCACCTTAAATCTACAGCTTCTTACTTGGCAATTCCCTTGAAATGTTGATAACTTGGTCCTGACTGACCAGATGCAGGTGTTAAGAAACAAATTGCTTGCACCTGGCATAGATCACTAATCCTGGTACACTGATGACAAGCAGCCCATTTTAAGTGTTATACCACTAGCCAGAAATGTGCACGAGTTGGTGTTGACACGAGTTAACATTTGATCTGACGTGAAGTTTTTCATGAAAAGGGATCCACAAATTTCCTTGAGTGTGAAGCAAATCATGCAATGAGCTTGCTGAACCCCTCAAACTCATGTTCTGCAGGTGCATGGACAAACAAAAGGTCCCCAGTGACTGGATAATGGCACTGCCTATATACAAACAGGGAGATCACTACTGTTTTAATAATAATAAGCTGGTGAGCTTGACCAGCATAGTGTGTAAAGTACTATAAAACTTTATATAAGATACCACGATGGAACATCTACAAAACAACCTGGTAAAGGAATGCCAACATGGGTTAAGTGATGGTGTTCGGACCTCCACAACACAGTCTTGATATTTCCATCTGGTTTATCCACGGTGCTTTATAAGTCTACTGTATTCTATCGCATCATTTTAATTTTCGATGTTTTATATATCCTCAGTGACCTTCCTTATGATACAAGATGAGAAAAGAAAAGTCTGTTGATCTACATTTTTTACTTCTTCTGGAAGACATAAAAATGTCATTTATATAATATCACACTAAAAATTGTCAAGTCATTAGATAGAATAATAAATTAGCAAAATATATTACTTTTGATTTTACATTAGAGTTGATACAGTACAGCCTACATGTATAAATATAAATTCACTTCAACATTATAGTCACCCATCACATGTTAAAATACAAACTATATTTTAGAATGTCTCTCACTTTATATAACAATTAATAGTAATACAAAATTTTTTTCATCATAATCTCACATCCACTTCCTAAGTTACTCTAAACAGTATATTATGTGTCGACCCTTACCATTCACGAGTTTGCGATTCGCGATTTCGAAGATTTGCTGAAAGCAGATGGTGGCTAGCTTGTGAGTCTTTTCCCGCAGCACAACGAGTCACCCCACGCAGCATCTCGTGTTGTATTCTCAAAACTTTAGTGTTCTGTGTGAAATGGCCCCTAAAAGATTGCCAAGTGTCAATGATAGTAAGCTAGTGGAGTGAATTGTAAAACGCAGAAGTCAGTGACGACCCTGACCAAAAAAGTTTTATGATTAGACAAGCTAAAAGAGGGGATGAGTGCTGCCATGCCTGGTCAGTTGTTTGGTACAGTATAGGTATACAGTAGTGTACTAAGGTAGTATACCGGTAAGTTGCTATTTGCAGTTTTGACAATTTGCGCTCTTTCTTGGAACCTATCCCCTGTGAATGGCAAGGGTCTGTTGTATACTGTAGCAGCAGATAAGCGCCACTTTACCACAATTTCCATAAGCCGAGACTGGTAGTACAGTACAGTACTGTACCTTGATGTATTATGGTAAAAGTTCACTAAGGGAAGGACTAGTGTCTACCTCTTCTACTATCTTTGGTAATAATTATGGCTTTTGTTGAGGACTGGTGTTTACCTTGCTCATCAGTTCTGCTTGTTTGATTTCCTGCTGGTAATCCTGAAGCACTTCCTGACTTGTGATGATCATCCTGTAAGCCTGTATTAGGCTGGCTGAATGATGCTTGTGGCAAGGCTTGCAGCACAACTTGAAGCTGCTGTTTTATTGCACTTAATTCATTTGTCTCGTTAACCATGCTATCCAGTTCATTTTTTAGTTTAATCACTTCTCGGGTTAGTGTTTTATTTTCTTCTTCTAAAGTCGTCTTTGACAAAGAATTATGCTGAAGTGCAGCTTGTAATATTGTGATCTGATCATCCTGGGATGCAATGCGCTCAAGAAGATTTGAGGAAGGTTGTCCCGCTAATGTTAACGCAGTCTTGTAGGACGCAACAGTGTTCCGAAGATGCTCTAGAGCATCTGACAGTTGCTGGATGGTAGTGCAGGCTTCAGTATTTTGTCTCTCCAGCTGCAACACTCTTCTAGTGAGGCTTATACTATGTTCTAATCCCTTGTTTCCTGTTAACCTTAAACCAGGAAGAATCTTATCTAACACTTTATTTGCCTCATCTTCAGGCAGCGTTGCAGCTGTTCTAATGTTCTTTTCATATTCAATTTCCAGTCCCTCATAACCAGCCAATAAATGCTTCACTCTCTGCAGCTCTTGGTTAAGGGCCATATTTTCATTTGACCTCTTAGATTTTTCTTCAAGGTAAGAAGCTTCAAGTTTTTGGATTTCTTGGTAAAGTTTAGAATTTTCATCAACCAAACCATCTCGATTTTTTGACAATGATGAGACACTTGATCTGAGCTCTTTAACTTCTGTGTCCAGAGCTTGTGTTTCTGCAATGTACTTGAGATTACATTTTTCAAGCTCAATGCAAAGCATTTCATTCTTTTCAGACAGCAGACTGACCTTCTCCTGTAAGTTAGAGCACTGCAAATTGTATGACTGACATTTTTCTCGGAGCATTTTAATTTCATGTTGATAATCCTGGGAATTTTCTGTCAGTGAGGTAATGTCCCCACGAGCGGCCACATACTTCCCATGTAAGTCCTCATTTCTTTCTCTCTCAAGGTGTAAATTCTTATTGCATGTTTTCAGCTCTTCTGTAATTCTGTCTAATTTGGTTCTCAGGTCCACAACATCTTCCTGATACTGATTTAAATCCTGCTCTTGCTTCCTCGTCTTGCCCTTAAGGTCACTTGATCTTTCTTCTAGAATATTACGCTCTTTTTTTAAAGTAGCAACCAACAATTCTAGTTCGTTTGTTCTTTTTGTCAGTGAAGTCTTCTCCTCTTGTAACTGGTCTCTCTCAGTTTTAACTCGCGCATAATTCCGCACTTTATAATCGTCGGACCTCTGTTCATCTTTTAAGTTCATCAGTTGACTGGCATATTGGTCAGATTTCCTATGAAGCTCTTCTATATTTCTCTGCAACTTGAGACATTGCTCACTACGTGACTTTAAGTCAGAATCTTTAGCAGATAGAGCGCTCTCCAGAGATAACTTTACAGCCTCAGCCTCATTGAATTTTACTCGTAGAGGCCATACTAGTTCATACACACGTAACTGAAAAGAAAAGGAAATGACACAGGAGTAATGTATATACAATACATGACAAATATTTCTATCTTTAGTGTTGAACATTTGAATCCTGAAAATATTAAAGATAATACTATTGCACAATACAATAATAAGAGCTGTACCACCTTGAGGGCTGCCATACTTACAGCTGTGTACTGCTGTAGAGTTAACTGTTGAGCAGGAGTGCGGCGCAGTCGAATAAATTCTTCCTCAGTTAACGTTAAGTTTGCGAGAGACGTTCGTAGTTCATCTTGCTTAATTGTCAATCTGAAATGATGTTTTTCGTAACATTAACTAAGGTTTGGGTTGTTGATATTTCTGTAACATTCAGTGGTGAATTAAAGATGAAGGCTTATTATGAACAACCACTTTGATAATCAGTCACACAGTATACATAAAACCATTTGGCACACACTGAAACACATCGGCACTTATTACACTTCCCACCTTATAACAAGACATGGATTCAAGTCATGTGATAATGAAATCACAGGTATACAGAAATCAAATACATGTGTAAGCCATAAAATTTAACCAATGAATTAAGCTCTGTTTAAAGTTAAGTTACTATTATGTAGCATTGTATTTAGATCAGATATGGAGAAATAAGACCTTTTTCTTTCACGGGGAATAGCCTACTCGGGTACAGGTCATCGACCCACAATGGGGCCTGGGGAGCAAAAAATAAGAGTAAAAGAAAATTAAAAATAGAAGAGAAAAAGACTATATTAATCTACACCACGAAGATGCCGGAAAACCATCTTTTTGAAGTGAGACATTGTATGAGTATGAAAACACAGAAGAAGGCAGAGCATTCCACAGTTTGGCTGTGTGAGGAAAGAAGGATGTAATATAATGGGTTATTCTAGTGTGACCGACATCCACACAGAAACGGTGGGCACCGCAGGCAAGACGTGTATTACGAACCCACGGCTTTGCCAGCAGTACAGAGGATGCCAAATCTACCGAACATGGCCCGTTAAAGCTACTGCACTTAAATTTGCTTTAGTAAGACCAAAATTTACAGAGATAAATTAAATAAATAGCCGATACAATTATACTTCAGATAATTTGATAAAACATGAAAGAATTAAACCACTTCACCTTGCTGCCAAATTTATCTTAATTCAAAATAATTTGTATTTAATTTTTTAAACAGTTGCTATTTTTAGTCGTTGATTTGTTATTATGAAGGTTGAAAAGGAGTTAAAAATGTATGTACTAATATAAAAATATTTATGCCATTTATGACATTTTAATGTGTCAAAAATTGCTGATTTAAACATACCGTAATGCTTAAATCAGTTTTACATAATTTTGTTTAAATTATGCCAACCCTACATAACCTGAGGCTTGTTTATAAGTTACTGCATCAACCTAATTCCCGCTAATCTATTTAAATGATGTGAACGCTCCCTCATGTGCTGCCAGCAATATCCACACCTCCACACTTCTGTTCAATTCCATATTCCTAACTTTCTCTTACAGTATAGTTCTACACCATTACAGTATTGTATATAACTAACATGAAATGCTGTACAATACAAGAATAAATAATAATTTTCTTTTATTTAATTTGCCACATATTACATGAAAGTAAATGAACACTGGACATTAAGGCAACTGGCCGAGTGACTGTGCGGGATAAGTCTACTTGTCCTCACTGTGTTTGTGGAGTAAGTTATACGTTAACTGTATGAGAATGATGACACACTGAATGCTTATTTGTGGACTTAATAGCATTGCAAATGTTACAGAATATTTAAGTTAGTGAAATAAGTAATCATTTTGGTCATACAAAAAAAGGAGCATTATTTTAATATATTTTCATTACAAATCAGGAAAAGATTATGAAAATTATGAAAAATTCATAACTTCAAATTTTTCATTTGTAATTTGAAACATGGATTAAAATATGCTTTTTGGTACCTCAGATTCGAACCTTTGTTATTTGTGGAATGCCTATACAATATACCTTTTCTGATTCTGTTGGAAGAGAGCACATTTTTGCGTCAGCTGAGCTAGTTCTCGGGCTGCTCGTTCTCGAAACATATTCAACTCCGCTTTTGCACGGGATAATTCGGCATCCAATCTGAAAAGACAATGATTAGTGTATTACAGGGTATTTCATTAAATTATTCCTCAAACACAAAATACCATGACAATGCCTGAGTTAGTAAAGTAATCAAATTCCACATGAATGTTAATCTGCAATATTTATTTTTCAAATTTAAAATTACAGTATTGAGATCTAAGTGCAGTTTTCTTTGTCATGAGACTCTACATATTCTTGGTGCACTGTGAATTTAACAGCTGGTAGAGGTGGCTTGATAACTTTACTGAAGCAGATTATAGTAGATATATTCATGACTCGACCTACTGGACACTGAGGGGATCTACAGGTCACAATACCTCCCCCGTAAAGTTCGTCTTAAATGGCACCTGTACGAGAATATGTGGTGTTTCCACTAATATTCTGCTCTTTATAAAATGATTATTATTATCTGTTGCTTTATATGTTTGGTGTCATTTGTCTTGATATACTTAATGATGAGTGAAAAGAGAAGAAAAATTGGATTTACTTCGACTGTTTGTGACTCGACAGCAAATATTCTTTACTTCAAACTCTTTTTTCACTCATATCTTAAAAGTTAATGTTTTCAAGCAGCTATATTTTTACAGATATTAAATTCAGCATTAATGTGAGCCATATCTAGGTATTCTTAAAAGTTGTAAAGTACAGTATATGAATTTATTTGCAATATATCAATTATTAATTGCACATTCGTGTGAGCCAATGCCAGAATTCTTGGTTTGGGTGATCTTTCCTAAACTGAGAAAAAATGTAGCATCCTGTTTGCAGTAAATGTTTTAATGTGACAAGAAATTTATGCTAATAACTGTAATGAAGGCAACAGTATGTTACATTTGCTCCAGCTGGCTACCCTTTGGAAGTGCATGTCATTTAAATTCCCAGAAAGCACAAATTTTTTATATTTTTCAACTGCCTCATATTTCCAAGTTTTACACATATATTTCAATGTTTTAAGAGGGATAGCTCCTCCTCTGATGGGTTTAGGTTAAAACTGATACTCCTTCACAGAAACCAACTTAAATTTTCTTACCTGTTAACCTGAATCTGTTTGGAACTGATTTGATCATCTTTCTGTGACACGGCCTTGGCAGCAGCTGCCTCGTGCTCTCTGGTGAGAGCTGCCAACTGAGCATCTTTACTCTGCAGCTCCAGCTTCTGTTTTTGTACAATCCGCTGAAGTTCTGCCTTCTCAGAGGCCAAGTTCTGCAGCTCTCGAGCATATCTGTAACCAGATTTCAGAATACAGTAAAATAAAAATTATTGAAGGACATAACTCTTGGAACAATCTGCCAAAGAACATCATGATGGCAAAGAGTATGAGCTCATTCAAGATCAGACTTGACCAACACTCATGCTGGTATAAATATTCTGGAGCCAGTATAGGTGCAGTAGTTGCCACCAATGTGTAACAGAGACGTGACCAACCGGCTAACGTGCCGATCAATGGCAAAGATCATAAAAGTAAAAAGTAAATGGAAATTAATGTTAAATTTTCATTTTGGCTTCTCCATTAATGAAATAATCTCAAAACAGTAAATGTATGACTGCTGTACCTTCTACTGGCAGCATATCCCTCTTCACTGTCACCATCACTTGTCACTGTCAAATCTGTAGGCACGGACACCTCGGCACTTCCCTCGGCAGACATAGTTCATGTTGCTTGTGTAATAACCTGAGGAATAATTCAAACATTCACTTACAGATAAGACTATTTATTAATAGCTATGCTGACATTTTAATCATAATTTTTTATCTTCCCAAACAAAAGACGGACCACATGAAGAATAACAACCCCAGCTTACCGGGTAATTCACCTGATGAGAAAATACTCTAATACTACTTAGTAGGGTTAGATTAGGATTAGGGTGCTTAATCATCACGTGGAATAACCTTGGATGCTTAATCTTAATGTGATCTGAAGAATACTGTCCCTCCAAATACCTAAAATGGCATTTTAAATTGATTGAAAAAATCTTATTTATTAACAATGTCATGTAATGTTGTTAGTTACTAGTACTGTACTGTATGTACACCTTAAGTGTTATTGAAACAAAAACCTAATGTTCGTCTGATCAACTAATCCTCAGAAGTGTGTGTTTCAGTGCCTACTACTGATCGCACTCTTATGTCCACGATGACATAAAATTACACGATGAAGCTTCAAGAAAAGTGCTTTTATTGGTTCAGTTGGGGAAATGTGTTCCTACACCCCCTGTTGTAACCAGTGTCTCCAAACGGCCAACCTATGACCTATAACAAACCTATCCATCAATCACGTCCATCATTACATGAGAAATACCCATTCATTCATAAACAGTGATACTACCACTGCGACGGTGCCGTTTGGAGACACGGGTTACCACAGGAGGTATAGGAACACATTTCCGCAACTGTACCAGATATCTAAGTACCTTAAGTTCTTTCTCTTTGGTTGGGTTAAGTTAGTTAGGTCAGGTTCTGTTAAGTTTTGTACATCGTCATCTCCATTTTCTTGTTCAGTATCATGCAAATAACATTGCCAGAAATTTTGGTGTAATTCCATCAACTCTACTACTAACCGTCTCCTTCACTATTACCAATTTATTTTTTGCCTATAAAGGATGTAAAGACCTGAAATCACTGCCATATGATTAATTTTTCGCCATGCTTTACCCCGTAATCTCTCTCATCTTTCATGCCCTGCCCACTACTGGTGATTTATGGGTATCATTATAATATTGGTTATGCAGCAAATTTTAGGATTTTAAGTTTAGTTTAGGTTATGTTGAAATTGTGGTTTTCCAATAGTTATTGATGTGTTTTGAACGACTTCCAAATCGGTGTAGGACCGAAACGATAATTTTGCCGATTTATGGTCGTGGATAGAGAAAAAATTACCAAAAATGACCAAACGCTTCTCTGATGTTCATCAACTCCACTACACATATTACCAAAACTTATATTATTAATCAATTTCCCCTTACGACATAAAACGAATCTGAACCTTTGAATGAACTTTAATGGCTGAACTGCACACTTCTACCGGTCCGACTAATTACCCAAATGTACCCAAATGTAGCCAAATATAGCCGCAATGAAGTCAAATAATGGTCCTACATGAATAAATCGGACTGCTAATCACTTCTCTACTAGTATTTGGTGTCAGAAAGTCACAAAAAATGGGGAAACTTAATTTAATCCGAGTTGTGTTGTGTTAGGTTAGGTTAGGTTAGGTTAGGTACATGCACTTGATCTATTAACTCAGATTAAATTAAGTTTACCAATTTTCTGTGACTTCGTGACACCAAATACTAGTCGAGGTTAGGTTAGGTTAGGTACATGCATTCGATCTATTAACTCAGATTAAAGTAAGTTTTCCAATTTTTGGTGACTTTCTGACACCAAATACTAGTCGAGAAGTGATTGGCAGTCCGATTTATTCAACTAGGACCATTATTTGACTTCATTCCGGCTACATTTGGGTAATTAGTCGGACCCCACTTCTACACATCCAGTTCCATACAACCTACTGAAGCTTCGTATTACTTGAGTATTTTGATAATTTAAGGTGTATTATTCTCAAATGTTGTGTATTTTGATCGTTTATAGTAATTCATTGACAAATAACTGTACCTTATAATACCCCCAACGTGAAATAAGGCAAATAATCATCTTTTTACCCCAACACTTGTGATCCAGTACGACTATGACAACAAACTGACGCCATGGTAACGGGTAAACATCCTTATATTAAATACTATTTCAAGTGATTAAAGAACCATTAAAACTATACCAATCACAACCAAAAAAAACAACCTTAATATATGATACTCATTTACTTTGAAATTTATATGAACTATGATCGCAAGAATGCATTTTATATTTACTATTATGTGAGCTGTATGTGAGGTATAAGACCATAGTCCATTAAGTCCAGTGAACTGATAAGTAAAAAGCTTATTTTGTTTTGTTTTTATCTGGATGATTTCCAACAGTTTATATTTACTTTATTTACTTAATGGACACCCACTAGAGGTGGCAATGCCGAGGGAAGGAGGCCATTGTTTTTGATAAAGGCTATTTTGAAGCCAGGTATTGTTCTTAATTCCACAGCTTGGGCTGGTAGACCGTTCCATAGGTCTACCTGCCTCAGTACGAAAAAAGTATTTCCTTATGTTCGTTCTGCGTGATAACTTGGCGAGCTTGTAGTTATGTCCTCACGTGTTGGAGGCGCGTGACATCGCAAAAAATGACCCAGGTTCACGTTTTTCGCCCCTTTCAGGATTTAGAAAATTTAAATGACCTACCCTATTGTACCTTATCTGAAGGGTTGTTAGTCCTAAGGCCATCAATCTACTTGGATAATCTAGATGACGTAGTTCTGGAATCACCTTAAGTCGGTGTGTTGCACCTTTTCTAGGGATGTTAGATCTTTCTGGAGGTAGTGTTTCCATGCCTGTAAACAGTAATCCAGACTGGGATGTATTTGAGATTTATACAGTTGAAGAAACATTTTTACATCTTTGTATATGAAGGTCCGGTTTATAATTCCCGTATCTCGATATGTTTTCCTCAGTGCTGCCCCAACTTGTTGCTCCCCCTTTAGTGTCTGATCTGTCACAACGCCAAGATCAGTAGCCTTATCGACAGTATCCAGGAAAGTGTTATTAACAGTTGTACTTAGGGGTGGGTCTTGCATTTCGTAATGTTAAAGAGAATTTGCCAGTCTTGAGACCATTTGAACAGCTTATTCAGGTCTTTCTGCATTGTTGCGACATCGTCTTGATTTGCTACCTTCACAAATATCTTCTATACCACGCTTACACCCGGTTCCATACCACACCTACACCTTGTTCTATACCAAGCCTATACCAGGTTCTATACCACACCTACACCTTGCTCTATACCACGCCTACACCAGGTTCTATACCACACCTACACCTTGCTCTATACCACGCCTACACCAGGTTCTATACCACACCTACACCTGGCTCAATATCACGCCTACAGCAGGTTCTATACCACGCCTACACCAGGTTCCACACCACGCCTACACCAGGTTCTATACCACACCTACACCTGGCTCAATACCACACCTACAGCAGGTTCTACACCACGCCTACACTGATTAGTTCCTGAGCCTAGGCAGAGAACACTGCTCTAATAAGCATCTGGTGTCTTTGTTGGCTGCCTTTGTTCAGTTGACTTCCTGTTTACTATTGTTTATATACCTGCACTGTCTATGTACATTGTTTGTACACCTACACTGTCTAGGTACATTGTATTCCTACATTGTCTATATACTGTACATGATGATTCAATGCTCAATCACCTGGTCAGCACCCAGGCGTGGCTGATATCCTCCCTGCCTAACACTGAACAACCGACGCGTTTACGTTACTTATCTACCCTTTAACCTTTTCTAAACTCGATAACTACTGACAAAGAAGAAAGAAGAAGTGAAAGAAGGAAGAAAGAAGAAGAATCTGGTACAATTCTGTCCACTGGGATATGGCCAAGAGTGATTTTGTTCCGGCTGTATCAGGTATACATTACAAGACTCGGTACCTGCCAGCTAGTCACCCTGAGGTACTCTGCTTTATAATGTAAGTTGTAAACAAACCAAGGACGCTTGCCTTCCCACACCTCATGAGACTATCACGAATTCTCTACAAAAACTTCAACTTTAAACTTTCGCGAATTGAATACATTCTTTACAGCACATGTTTTTCTATATAAATGAGATAAATAATTATGTAAGTAAATGACATGAAATTCCTTCGAGAGTTTCATAAGGTTAAAATCTTGATAAAACATAACTCCTGTCACTACTAACCCCTTCAAACATCAAGCTGCGGTTCACTGAAACGAAATAAAATAAAATATTCATTCAGTGGCAGTGTAGTAGAAAATCTTAAAGCGAGAAGATACGATGCTAATATAAAGAAGATGGAAAAAACATGAAGGAAATTATATATAATTTGATTTTATTAATGAAAATAACGTGAAACTCTGAATTAATGCAACACAAGGAAAGATTTTCAAGGTAAGGTTTTAAGAATGAAAAGTAAGTACCTGTATCCACAAGGACATGAATGAATTGTGCCTAGTTCTCAGTATGATACGTCACACTTGACTTACATCAACAAATGGATGTTAACTTTCTGAGTAACAAGGGGAGCATCTGTGCCACATTATGACGTCACCGACCATATGCCCGATGCACGAGAATGTCGGTGGCTTTAGATACATTAATGCATTGACAGGTAAACACATTGCAGATAGATTGATAGATAAATAGATCGACAAATTTAGTAAGATAGATAAATAGATTAACAAAGTCAGCACGATAAATAAATGTCAGTACGATTGGAAGGCTCACAAACAATGGTACAAAGGGTGATTCAACCATTGACAACTACTAGAGTATAATTACAATGTATCGCAATAAAGAACATTAAAGACTTTGAAATAATAATACTAATGAATGTTGTCTTTACCAATACTATTATACTTACTGCTAGATTGAGATTTATGTTACGATTTAAGAACAAAACAGTATATTTCCAAAGGATTAATACTAACTTAGGGTTTTATTGGTGATGTTGGGAGAAAAAAATAAATATTGGATAGTGTAGTTTGTGGCACTCGCTATGGACTTGATTCATATTCTCAAGAGCTTCATCCCGAGTAAAATAGGACAGTTGTGAACCAAATCCCATTTATCTCGCCAACTAAAAATTTACCATTAATCGATGTTTTACCATTGAACACAAATTATTAAAAACTTGTAATAGATGAATGAACAACATTTATAAGATCTCTCTACGATACATACATATGCTATTATTATAAATACGGCCCACTGTATGGCAACACGAGGCATTTGGTGACGTAAGAGGTGCACAACTCACGTGACCTGCCTGGCGGGGGAGACTCAAACGCCCTCATCCACGCTAGTGTAAGTTCACTTCGCGTGCCGTTAAGATCATCAGCGGGGGGACGGTCCTCAATTGTGTCTCTGAATGAACACAATAACATATGCGTGAAAAGAACTCAGAACTTCTTCGATATTTTACTTTAGCTCTCAGTTACTTGGATCAACCGTCTCTCCCTCCCTCAACCAGGTGAATTAAACTTCCTCTCAGTTAACAACAGACAAATAGGTTATTAGATAGTTATTTTAGTTTGTAAAATCGTCGTATAAATTCACACTGATTCATCATGTACCTAGACAATACAGGTAAACAGTAAGTCGATTTAAGCAAAGATAATTCGGTTTCACAAGTCGCGTCTTTATATCGCGCTTCAAACCTAACCTAACCTAACCTAACCTAACCTCAATGTACAATGTTACTCTATGGTATAGTGATCCCTTAAGAGAATTAAGTGACAACATTGTTCTCATCACCGCCGATTTATACGCTTCATAAGTATACAGATATTCCCGTGTACTTATTAACCTCGTATATACCCTTAAAGACCTTAGTTGTTGAAGAGTAGTAAATATGGTATAACATCAGCACCACACATTTGCTTGTTACGGGAGTCTACTAACTACTTGTGTACAGGGGGTCTCCTCAATCACCTGGCGTCGCGTTAGTCAAATGGAATCTTAAAAAGTGGTGTATTCTTAGTGAAGGGGTTAGTTAATATGTACAAATTAATTATACACAAATTCGGGTCAATATGTACACCTGCATTGTTTATGTACAGGTGAGCCAATGTGAACCTGTGTGTAAAAAAGAACAATATTATACTTAACACCAAAAACATATAGAAATATAATCCCACAAATCAAATTAAACGTAAACTATTTTAACTAAACTAATATAAACTATCTTAACTAAATTCAAACCTTCTCAGTAATATACACATGTCTGTTAACAGCTTAATTTCGTAATATATCCATGAATATATTTCTTACAGGTTAACATGATGAAATATATTGTTGCTCAATAAGAAATAAATCAACGACTTCTGTAAGTTATCATTACCTGCGTCACTAGCTGGGGCAAGATGTGTACAGTACTAAGAAGGATTAAGTTTCCTATTTTTTTTCACGACACTGAAATTTACCATGAAAATTTGAATATTAGTGAAAGATCTGTTTACTAAATATATATTTTCGTCTCGCTGTTATCCTGAACTAGTGAAGTAAGTTTAACTGATCGAAATTTTATTCAATATTAAGTACTACTGCTACTACTTCCATTATTATTAGTAGTAGTAGTACTAACCACCATCGTTAAGTCTATTGTATCTGTTTTCACGAATATGGTGCTACAGTTCATATAAATACCTGTACATATATGTAGCACTTATATACGATAATATATAAACTAGTTTAAACACACACACTCACATGGGATCTTCAGTACCACTGGCAACACACACTATTGGTACTGTACAACACTAGTGGCCAAGACGTACGATGTTCACCCTGGCAACTAAAACACTTAAAAATATGACGCACCCACATCCGGAAAACTATCATTTTGATTATTTTCTTTTTTCGATTATTTACCCACATACACACACAAAAGAACATCGTACATGGCGTTAATCAATGCATTAAATTTTGGCTCCTGCAATATTTGGCAACTGAACAGAGAATTATCTTGGTGCGGTCAGAAATTAATAGTAGTCGTAAAGTGACTTGTTTTTATACACCAAAGCGACATTATGGTGGAGGTGTTTATATTATAGGCTAAGTGTCTGTAACATTGGCACACCAGCACACATTCTTCAACACATCTGTTTAGATAAATGGATGCCTACGATGGGATGGGAGAGGATAGGTAGGTGGTAGCCTAGTCGCATGGCGTGTTGCTTGTTGGACGAAATTCTAAACTTAACCTAACCTGATGCCTCACTTAACGTAACTTAGCTTAAGGAAATCCAATATAATTTTAATTATCCTAACCTAGTTTAACGTAACCCAATCTAACCTCATTTAACCTAAGACAATCTAATATCACTTATCCAACCTATTGACAAAATAATCTTGGAAACTCTGCTCTCAGATGTATATAAAGTGTTGATTTCTATTTCATGAATGTTTTATGTTAGTGACGGTTTAACACCTCACTATTGCCAAGAACGTGAGGTGATATAAGTCGTGTGTTGATACGATGCCATTCTTAATTACTCTGGTAACAAAAGAAGCCTGTATCAATATTGCCAAAGTGACAAGAGGCGGTCATCTTTTGAAGTCTTTGTCGCTGTGAGTTGAAGTTAAATCACCAGGGCAACATAAATACTTGACGCACCAGGAAAATATAATAAAATGAATGCAAAATCAGAGTATGTGAGTTGGTTCTTTGTTTCTCAATAAAAATATACCAACGTTGTGTTCGGGGAGTACGTACACTACCCATTTGTTCGGGGAGTACGTACACTACCCATGTGTTCGGGGAGTACGTACACTACCCATTTGTTTTGGTGAATATGAATTATGACAGACACCGGCTGTCGGTCACAACCAAGGTAAACTTTTATAGATGTTTGTGGTTAAAACTCGGGTATTTAAGCTTTTGATATAATTTTATAATTTCTCACATCCAGTAGATAATTGCTGGACCTAAAATCGGAATGTTTTCAGTCGAATGTGGGGATTTTTGTAACGTTTGAAGAACTTTACTGTAAATACGGAAAGTACTATTTAACATATATCGAAAAGTGTATTGGATATACATCAAAGTTATCAGTTACAAGACTCAAAAGACGCGTTCATATTTTTTCCAACAGATGCACCAAGACACATTTTTAACAACAGGGTACAGGTCTCAGGGCCAAACTGACTATACTCGCGATGAAATGGGTAATCCCAGAATATTTCCTGATACTTGTGCCAAACTTCCTTCCCTAATATATTACCACCAGGAGTTGACTTGCCCAGTGAGCGTCCTTCACAGCTGGGTCAAGATCAACATTTGTGGTTCTGGGAACGAGTGAACATCAAGTTATCTACTGTATCACTAACCAGTAAAAATGGACTCGATTTTTACTAGACTCGAAACTTAAAGAAACCGAACCTAACCCAAACCTAAGAGAACCTACTCCGAACCTGTACTAACTTACTCCAAGCCTAGTAGAATTCATGCCAAACCTAACCTAACCTAACCTACTCCAGACGTATCCTAACTTGCAGTACACCTAACCTAACCACGACGGAACTGAAGAGTCTGGTCAAGAGTCAACATAGTGAAAACGGTTTACTTTTATTCCACTCCTGCTAACAATAACCTATACATTGCCGCTATAACTGTGATTCTATGAATGTCTACTTACTTTATATTTACTACTAAATATAATCAGTTAAGATTATCCAGTTAAACTTCTAATGATATACAGATTTTAAAACGGATTCTCTACGTCTGTTATTCATGTCCTGGCGCGAAGAGTCCCAAGACTTTTACCCACCAATTATGCGTAGGGTTTATTTTCTACCTAAGTTTGACTGCCAGCTGAGTCATATATCAGTTTAATTTATTTTATATCACATAAGGTCGTTTGTTAGCGCTTCAGGCACCCCTAATCACCCAGCTATCAACGGGTGCCAAAGGACGCGCTGTTTCCTTGTGTACTGAAACATAACTAAGACTACTATGGTGTGTTTATGACCTATTCTATCTCCTACCATCCTAACTGAACTCTTACCGATCAAACCTAACCTAACCCTTATCAACCAAACCTAACCTAACTCTTTGTAACTAAACCTAACCCAACTCTAAGCAACCAAATCTAACCATTAGCAACATAACGTAACCCATAGTACTCTAACCTAACTCGTTCCATCTTCACTTAACCAGTATGAGTCATAGTGAGTCAGCTAGCCAGTACCTCACACACACACACAAAGACCCAGCTGTTTAACTTTAACTAAGACGTAGCTTATCCTTATTAATAAACAGCCTAGCCACCATCTGCCAGAATCTGTCATACATCTTTTGTGAGGCGTAAAACCGTGTGTGCACTCCAAAGATACATCAGTGTTTGCTGCCAGTGAAAACAAAAATACTTTGTACTTACATTGGGTATAATCTACTGGGAACAGGTTTGGGGAATCAAGATTGTATTTACCTCTGTCAAACAAACGCCGGGACGATGTTGCTTGTTGATGGTACTGTACTTGGTTGCTTGTGTACAGCATTAACTCATAATGAATAATAACAAAGTTGTTCATATAATTCAAGGACGAGAAATAAATATTTATCTACGTCTTCAGTCACGTATATAATTATGATACTACAATAAATAAGCAACATTAAATAGAAGTAGAGTTGGGATCAAATTCTCTAAGTTATGGTGCAGTACATTCGTAAAATTTTCTTGCAGTCGATATTAAATGAAGACGAACTAACCGTCATACGTGAACTATAGCCCAAAGTCGGCAGCAATACCACATCAGAATTGTACAGTAACTAAACATAACACGAGATGGCCTTCATTTCTAATTAGGGAGACAAATTATCATACCATTTACTGAGAACTCGGGGCTAGCTTTCAAGCGTGTGATGGCGAGGGACAATGTTGAAGACGGGTTTGTTGATGTGTGGGGGCGGGGTAACAGTGTCTTATTGTCCAGTGTTTGTAAAATAAATAACAATGGCCATGAAGACGTGAACTGTTGAGTTAGAGGGAGGAATTTACCGGCATGACGTCGCGGTGTTAACATCTCATTACCAGGATGACGTCTCATGCAAACAACATGGCCGCCATAATGACGTCACCTGTAAACATAAGGTAACTCGCGGCAACATCAATAGGGACTGACGACAAATATTTTCTACCAGTACAACATCAAAATACTCCTCCAACTACTAAAATTACTAACGATTGAAATCAGAGAAGCTTTTTAGAGATGCGGTTTGTACCAACGCCAGCGAGTTGACGGTGCCTAGTTATTTAAATTTATTTATTATTAAATCACAAACAACAGCACAAGTTCGGATATACTAATAATAATAATAACAATAGAGGTATTTGTTTACCCCTGTAGATATAAGTACGTAAAAGTACATACATAAACTACACCTACTGTATACATACACACATATACAGATTCACGTACAGGCACACTTCACAATAGAAGTAGTACACTAACACTACACATCATTACTGTACTTGAGAAAATAGCAGCAAATTGTGGTTGAGTGACGTCATTACCTTAACACTGTGTATTATGTGAGTGAGTTACCATTATATTACTTAAGTATTGTCGTCCTAGTTTTGAGTACCCGGTGGGTGTGTGTGAGTAACCTCGGTCACTGGGAAGCTAAAGTTTTATTGAGACTAAACTGGTACTGCGAGCTACACTTACGTCACTCGCCCTAGTTTCAATACAGTATAACTATGCCATTTTGGATATTATTTTTGTGTTTTAGTTCCAAGTCATTTTTTTATAAATTAAATTTAGGGGTAATATTTAATAAATTAAAAAACCATCCCTAGTTGATCAAGACATATCAACCCCGGTATGCAGGTTTAAGTACAGGTATATCAGTTCAACTTGTGTTTATCGTTGATTATAACACCTGTTTATTTTAGTGGGTTAGTATGTCGAAGGAAGGAAGTGAACGAGGGTGAGACAGTGAACAAACCGACCACAATATTCTTCGCAGGTTGTCAACGCATACAAACAATAACTAAAATACAATCACTGAATATTCAAATTTTTCTATAACTAATGAAGAACTTTTGAATTATGGGAGATATTTTTTTGTTTTATAAATAGATCATCGTTTGAGGTTAAAAAAATAAACTTTAATAGCACAACAATTTTCCCATGGGAAGACTGGCAGCCAAGCGTAGTATTCCACTTCCCGGGCAATGTCAAGGTCTGCCTGCACTTTAGTCTAAAAGATTCGTACGACCAAATTTTCTTCGTAACTATGGACAATAAAGCGTCTCTAGTTACAGTACTGTCTCTGTGTCATTTCGTTTTCATTTTGGTTGTCAATTTTGTGCTAGAAGGCATAATCCATGTTACCAGTCAAAGAAGAATTAATCTACGAATGTTAGAGACTCGTGGCTTTAATTATTGAATACTGTATTACGTAAATGTTGCATAGCCAGCAAAATGCAACGGTTTTTATCCAGAATATTCAATAAAATTAACAATATGTCTTCCTTAACTGAGCAAAATTTAGGGATACGTCACCCTTTACTGCGCAGTCTTGTCTAGTGTTATATCCGGGCGTTGGTCAACTAGGCTTGTTTCCGCAGCCTACTAGATTCGAAGCCTAGTTCAGCCTGGGATGGAAAAATACTAGTTACAGTAAAATTTTGTGGTGGATGGTGGTAGTTGTGATGAAAAGTGGTATACCTTGGAATTGAAGTGCTACAATGCAACTCATTATACAGTACTAGTAA